CTATAAGAGAAGAAATGTGATTAAATGGATTGTTGTCAGAACTCGGATTTGTTGGTAAAATCATGTTTTGCGGAAACACTCTTTTATAAGTGTAAAACGTTTTCTTTTGATGATTGACATGTGTATTGCTTATGACCGGTGGATGGTGAATTGGTTTTTACTTGAGCTTGATNCTTAAAATCTCTGATTTTAAGTGTTCTACATGATAGAGTAACCTTCATTATGTAATATTTTGAGTGAATATTGTGAGAATCTGTATGATTTCTCTGTTGTCAGTTTTGGTGTTGTTCAAAGGGTTATATTGAAGATATATTGGTGAATCTTTGTAAATCTATCGCTGTATTTAAGAGATAAGTCTCTTGTTTCATCTCTCTGAAATTTTGTAACATTCGTTGCCATTTTGGGCTGTTATAGTGCAACTTAGCATAATCCTTTTCTTCGATGCTCAACGGGGGATAAAGGTGTTAGAAGCAATCACCGAACCTCCGGGCCTACGATCAAAATAATTATTTGCTGTTAATCTTTAATTTTCTGCATTTGACTTTCAATTTGATTCGATTATTCTTGTTTCTCGATTCTTATATCGTGTGGTCTTTGCTTTACAAATACAAGTATTACAAAAAAGATAATTGTATACAGACATTACAAAAATATTATGAGGTGTTCGAAATGATCGAAGTAATTGTATAAGAGGAACTATAAAAGAGCACTTTCACTAGAGGGGAGCAATCAAGAAAGCAGCAAGCAAGCGACTCGGCTCGATTCGTCCCACTAAAGGACAAGCTTGTGGGACAGGTTGAGCTCCACATCAGTGTACTCGATTCGCCTCATCTGATCAGAAAAAAGAACACAAGTACGAACTGACTTGTGTGTACTCGATTCGCCTCATCTGATCAGAAACAAGAACACAAGTACGAACTGACTTGTTTGAAGGGTCGAGTCAAGGGTACAAATGAACGATTTGACTCGAACCATTTAACATAACTAGTCCCGCCTCCTAACGGGGCGGGGATGGAGTGCCTACTTCTCAATACGTCACAAACCATAGATAATTTTCCCAAATAAAAAGGTCAAAATATTCATTCGACAACAAAATATAAAATTGATAAATGGAATACGGGCAGCCGCTGAAGTCCCATTCTCCTTCGCCTACTTTCTCTCCTTTCCCCTTCTTCACTCCCTTCTTATCTTCTCCTTTCTCTCTATATATCTCTCTATCCAAATTCTCATTCCTTAATTTTTTATACAAAAATGGCCGGAAGTGGAGTTGTAACAGTCTACGGGAATGGCGCGATCACTGAAACCTCAAAGAAATCTCCATTTTCAGTGAAGGTGGGCCTTGCCCAGATGCTCCGTGGCGGCGTTATCATGGACGTTGTCAATGCGGAACAGGCCCGGATAGCGGAGGAGGCTGGCGCCTGTGCCGTCATGGCACTTGAGCGTGTACCGGCGGATATTCGGGCACAAGGTGGCGTAGCCCGTATGTCGGATCCACAGCTGATTAAGGAAATTAAGCAAGCGGTTACTATTCCTGTGATGGCGAAGGCCCGGATTGGGCATTTTGTTGAGGCCCAGATTCTTGAGGCTATTGGGATTGATTACGTTGATGAGTCTGAAGTGCTTACCCCTGCTGATGATGAAAATCATATTAACAAGCATAATTTTCGGATCCCTTTTGTTTGCGGCTGCCGTAACCTCGGTGAGGCCCTCCGCCGTATAAGGGAGGGCGCCGCCATGATTCGAACGAAGGGGGAAGCAGGCACAGGGAATATTATTGAGGCGGTGCGTCATGTGAGGTCGGTTATGGGAGATATTCGACTTCTTCGCAATATGGATGATGATGAGGTCTTTACATTTGCGAAGAAGATTCAGGCGCCCTACGATCTGGTGATGCAGACCAAGCAGCTTGGCAGGCTTCCAGTGGTGCATTTTGCAGCCGGTGGGGTGGCCACTCCTGCAGATGCCGCGCTCATGATGCAGCTGGGATGTGATGGCGTTTTTGTGGGTTCTGGAGTGTTCAAGAGTGGGGATCCTGCCCGCAGGGCTCGTGCCATTGTCCAGGCCGTCACGCACTACAGCGACCCGGAGGTTCTGGTTGATGTTAGCTGTGGCCTCGGGGAGGCAATGGTTGGAATTAATCTGAATGATGAGAAGGTCGAGAGGTATGCTAACAGGTCCGAGTAAAGAATGTATGGCGCCGGAAGAAAAGGCAGAATTCAATTTCCAATTCCGTGGCTTGTAGAAGAGGCATAAAGGAACCTCTGCATGGATACTCTATTTCAGTTAAAATTACAGTTTCTGCTTTATGGGATTTGGCTTTTTTAGGTTAAGTACTTGTTATAATTCGATACCTACGAAATTCTATGTTGAGTTGAATTGTATGGTGATTCCTGCAGTTTGTTGTACTTGTTCTTATTACCGTAGTTGTTGCCCTGTTTTTCCGATTATGTAGTTATAGCATATTTGGTGGTGAAAGATTTGCATATTTTCTGAGTTGGGATGTTAAAATTTCTCAGTTATGAATATTGGGATCAATATTTTTGCTTGAAGTTGTATCTGTTTTGCTTAAGGGTTCATATCCACGAAGGAGCGGGGACGGGGCTAGAGTACTTAAAGGCATATAAGGGCATTCATTTAGAATTTATTGGATTGATTTTGTAAGTTGTGGCTACTGTTGGCTTTTAGTTTATTTGTATCTAAGTAATTATTAAAAGAACTCAAAACTTTTCACTTCTTAATGTTACTTCAAGTTGGTGGTTGTTCTTGGATAAGCCTGGAGATTTCTTGATTTAAATTACTTAGATAACTGGTTATAGAAGTTGATCAAAACAATTGATTTTTCTTGAAAATTGAGAAGCAGTACTTATCTTACATGCTTTGAAAGTTAAATGACTTCATTAGGCTTTCAATCTTGTCTTTCTAACTCTCTTTTCAAGTCCAAAAGTTTATTTTAGAGAAGCCTAAGCTCGGACCAAGATTCCAAAACTTAATTTATTACTTACCCTTCTTATTTCAGAAGTCTGAAGTAATTTCAGAGGTATTAGCCTATAACAGAACTTCTAAAACTAATTTTACATTTCTACGAACTTGTTTTCGTAAAACCTATAGCTCTGTTGTAACCATTTTTTTGATCAGGAACGCTGTTGTATCTATTTGTTGAAAGGATGCTTGCTTTGCTTTTAACTCTCACCTTTCAAAATCGAGCTCGTGTTTAAAATGGATTGGGTTGCTATTGCTAGTTTTGAAGTTGTAAAACTATTCTCGTTATTGAAATTAGTTAGTGCTCTTTTACAATCCTTGGAAAACCTCTCAACTGAATTTTGGGGATATGGAGGTTAACCAGTGAGATACATTGTGTAAAACAGGAACAACCTTAATGGCTAGATTTTGTTATCTGTCTACGCTAGAATGTTTTGAATTACCAAAATGTGGGATCTGTGAAATGCTAAGTTCTTTTCATTGTGAAAACAAGAATAAAACAATGTGCTTTATCTAAAAATCATTTTTGGAGAGAAACAGTTTGCTTTATCACAAAATCATTTTTGGAGTGGCCTTGTAGTGTTACATCATTTACATAGTTTTCCTGTATATGCTGTACGAGATCTTTTACTGTCATATCAGTGAATGAGTCACTCATAGTTCTCATTTAAATGGAGTAGAACATTCTTCCAAACACCAGCAAGAGGTTCCCAGTTCTTCTTTGATCTGTCTTAGGATCGGGTGGCAAGTGGAAGTGTGATGTGTCCTGAAACTTGGGTTCCTTGCTAGGCTTTGAAATTTTTGTTGAATTATGAAAGAGTTTATATGCTGCTATTACAAACCTAAAGGAAAAACCTTTGATAAGGTATGCAAATTCTTGGGGACTGAACAACTATAATTGCTGTGTGAATTACTTACTTCTCTCCCTTGTTAAATTGTGCTATGATCACCACTAAAATCATAGCACAATTTAACAAGACTTTATTTTTTTTGTGCAGGACTGCTTTTTCATTCATGCCCTCAATGACAAAATTCCAAATTACAATATTGCCAACGTGTGTTTCTCTCTCCCCAAAAAAAAAATAAGGATAGTTTTGGAATCAAACAATTTTGCATTGAAAAAATTGTCAATTGTCAACTTGAACCGCAGTGATAAGACTGCAAATAATCAACAAAGGGTCCTCTCAGTGTGCAAAACATTGTTTCCCAGCTAAAAAATGGTCATCGAACAGAGGCTAGCCCATTGGGCCACAGGCCCACAGCTTCACAATTTCAAGTTTGCTGTGTCTCTGTTTTCTGTTTGTTAACATTCGTATTATTATTTTTGTTTTAATTTTGTATTCCTAATTTATTTAACTTGCTTTAGATGCCTTATTATTATATCAATAAATAAATCATAGTTTAAATTCAAACCGAATTGCATAAGATAAAATGGGCAAAAAATATCGCGCAAATCAAACGACGTTCACCCTTACTGTCTATATTCTGTACATACTAAGATTGCAAAAGAGTTTAAACATTACATTATAACTTTCTTGTTTTTGTAAGTTGTTCACCACCTCACGACTTGATCAAAGAATGGAGACCAACATTTGCAATTTTCATTATCTTTCGATGACTGAAATAAAAAATATAAAGTCCGAGAATGCATCCTAAAGTTGTTGTCTCCTGTCTATACATTTTTGACACATTCGAAGTTCTAATACAGATACGTCAAAAATGTATTTCTTAGAAGTGACAAGTTAGAACATCTTAATATTTTATTGGGTACCTCAAACTGAAAAATTCTAGAAACGATCATCTAAGCTCTACGGCGAATGGAGCACTACGTTTTGTTAATACTTCAATAAATGTTAGGTTAGATAATTCCAAACATGATTAATGAACAAAAAGGTCAAAATTTTGTGTAGAGCATAAACCAAGACTGCTTGCCAAACGTAATCCAAATCAAAACTTCCAACTCCTTCGGCTACTCTATGTATGTTAAGCTACTCTCAGTTGAATATTTACTAAAAATAGTCCTACTTTTTCTCTCCCTGCTTCGATGACATCGACGGAGGTGGCGGAAGTGAGCATGGTGGAGCTGACGAGGGGAAGGCAAATGACCTTTCGAGAAATTGCCTTTGGTTTTCATTGGCAAAGCAGGAGACAGAATCCACACATACTTCTAAAGCATTGGATGGTCGAACAGGCTTGAAATCTTGCAGCTTCGAGTACTCTGTAATGAGATGATACATGTAATCATAGACACGATCCATACTCAAATTTCCCATGAAATCTTGTGCTGCTCTCCCAATCGATTCTGCCTGTTTTGGCCAGTCAGCATATTACTCTAATAGAACGGGGTAGGTACTAGATAACAATTGACAATGACAAAGATAAAAATACAATAGAATTACTCATCAAAATGTCGACTCGTGTCGAATACTGAATATCACAGACTCTCTCGACCATAATATCCCGGTTCTCATTTTAGGAAAAGAAAAAAAAAATGCGTCCTAGCTTGTTGCTATCAGTATGCATTATGGAATAACTAGAGATGCAAAGTGAGTTGTGTAAAGTTCAAGAAAACTTTGGACCGTGTCAACCCTGACATCTTTGTGAACGTTGAAACATTGTCATTCTTGATATAGAGTGCCCATGCTTGGTCGAAAATATTGCAAAATCACCTTCTTATTTTTCTCCCACCCCTATTATTCCAAGGAACAGTTAATCCATTCGTAATGTTAAACAGGATTTTATGGTCCGTCAGTCGCCTATGAAGAAGTATCTAATCCAAGTTAAGAATTAGTCCCCACTTGTTAAATCAGTTTAGCATGAGTTTTTGGTTGGAAGTTGCAGTCTATGGTATTGGCAAGAAACAAAAAGGAGGCATTATAGAGGAAGAAACATACCTGGGATGAATGCTTATTGCCCCAATCAACGAAAGATTTAATAGCTGGGCAAATCCCAGTTTGAGGAACGGGCAAGAAGTTTTTCTTTGGAATGAGACCCCGAGTAAAGAAATCTTCGTATTTTGGAGTTATTATTAAAGGAAGAGACCCACAAGATAAAATGTATTTCAAGCTTACGGACCAAGCGTATCCTTCAGCATAGATCTTGTACCTACATAATTTCATATAGAGCGAAACGCAAAAGAAAAATTAAATGACATTTTACCCAATGCGTTTCAACTAAATTAAGAGCAAGTTAAGAAAAACACACGAGCTTTTCGCGACCATTTTGACACCAATTTCAAACGATACCCCTAATGTACTATGAATGAACAATGGCAGAATCCAAAAATACTCACCGATAATCACACTGCTTCGATAACTTAGAGTCCTTAAAGCCACTTTCTACTGCTTTTCCCCAGTCCTGTATTTTAACAATGAAGAAAGAATTAAGAAAAATAAAAAAGGACGGAAATCATGATAAATTCATCTTAAAATTATTACTTTTAAACCAACTTAAAGTGTGTTGTAAATTTATTTTTCAAACACTCGTTGATTTATAGGTAATGTTTAAACAAAAGGGTGATGGTCATTTAACTCATTAACCTGACGCATTATTTGTGCACCCCAGATTTCGGTGTCGTTACATCGGAGTAATTCCAAGCGAACCCGAGAAAAAACATCCGGGTTTCCTCTCCAGTATGCAAAAGCCCACTTCTCTGCCCAACTTCGTTGGCGGGAGCCTTTTTTAATGCTCTCAAATTCTTCGTTCCATGGTTCTATATTCACTTCTGGCCTGTCAACATATACTCAACATCATGCCACTGAATCCAAATCAAATAAAAATTCAAATTCTGCCGTCACTTTCCTAAATAATTTCATTCCGACTAACTTTTGAATTGAAGTATGAATAAATCGAGGATCGAAGAAGAAACTCCCTTTTTATTTTATTGAATCTTTATCAAAATGAAACACAACCCATAGTATAAATGCACCAGACGAAACAAACATAATAGACGCTTACAGCTGATTTGCAATCAAGCTAACAAACTACCAAAAAGACACAAAGAAGGACATAAAGAATAATTGCAAGTAAGGTCCTGAGGAAAATAAAATGTGAACATTCAGTACGAAAATTCTATATCCCCCCTCAAGTGGGACATTGATGGAAGTCCATCAATGCCAACTTGGACAGTAAGAAGCGAAACTGCTGAGCAGGGAGGGACTTGGTGAAAACATCGGCAATCTGATCATTAGTGGAAACATGACGAGGAATAACAAAACCCAGCTTGAGCTGATTGCGAACAATGTGACAATCGATATCAAGATGTTTAGTCCTCTCATGAAAAAGGGGATTGACACAAATGTGAAGCGCTGCCTGGTTGTCGCACCATAGAGGAATTGGGAGAGGAACAGAAATGTGAAAATCTTGTAGAATGTAATGAATCCACTATAATTCACAAACCGTTGTTCCCAAACTTCTGTACTCTGCCTTAGCCGAACTCTTGGAAACTGTGGTCTTTTTTTTGTCTTCCAAGAAACTAAAGCTCCTCCAAAGAAGATGCAATAACCTGTTAAAGATCGTCGAGTGTCAGGGCAAGTTGTCCAATCCGAGTCACTGAAAGCTTCCAAAGCAAAATTGTTAGTGACAGGAAAGAATAAACCCTTTGACATAGCACCCTTAATATACCAAAAAATATGCAATGTTGAATTCCAATGAGCGACGAAAGGATTCTGCACAAACTGACTTAATTGTTGAACACCAAAGGTAATGTCTGGTCTGGTAAAAGTGAGATAAAGTAGACGCCCAACAAGTCTCCTAAATTGCTCAGGATCGGAGTAAGGATCCTGGTCAGAAGCAAAAAACTTTTGGCCATTAGGTAATGGTGTAGAGGCACTCTTTGCACCCAAAAGACCAGCATCAGTGATAGGATCAAGAGCATACTTTCTTTGATTTAAGTATGTTCCTTCTGAGGACCTTGCAAATTTCAATACCAAGAAAATACTTGGCATAGTTCAAATCCTTGATAGTGAAAACTTTGTGCAGAAATTCCATAACTCAATTGATCTCCAACTCATCAGTTCCAGTAAAGAAGCAAATCATCAACATAAACAAGTAGAGTAATGAAGGAAGAAGAATTATGTAGAGTAAACAAGTAATGATCATGTTGGAACTGTTGAGACCCAAATGCAATAAGATGTTTACATAATTCAGAATTCCATTGTCTACTTGCTTGCTTCAAACCATACAGGGATTTTTTTAGCTTATAAACCTGTCCCACGGCCGCTTTATCATAGCCTTGAGGTGGCCACATATACACCTCTTCATCTAACACACCATGCAAGAATGCATTGTTAATATCAAATTTGACAAATAGCCACTGTTTTGCTACTGGAGAAAAATTCTCAAAAAAATCAATCCCAGGAACTTGATTAAAACCCTTCACAACTAACCGTGCTTTACATCTATCCAAGGTACCATTAGCCTTAAGCTTTGCTTTAAAAACCTACTTACAACCTATTGGTTTCTTACCAAATGGCAAGGAAGTCAATTCCCAAGTTGCATTTTTCTCCAAGGCGTTAAGTTTTGCCCTTATAGTTTCTGTCCATTCTTTCCTTGTGCTTGCATCCCTGTATGAAGTTGGCTTTTGGATAGTGGTAATGTTAGCCAAATAATCAATATATGCAAGATTAAAGTTGAGTGAAGTATAGTAGGGAAAAGTATGAGGGGTGAAGGATGAAGAAGTTGGAACAAAAGGTTGGGAAGGTGATGGGAATGTGATTAGTGTGGCTAAGATTGGACACAAAATCTTGCATCCATCTAGGGGTCATTTTTGTTCTGGTGCTCTTCCTGATGCAAGGTGGATTATGAGTAGAATTATCAGATGGTAGTGGGTCTGGAAGAGGTGAAGAACCGTTGCTGAGATCATCAGTGGCAGTAGGCAGACTAGCACGAAGGTCAGAATCTTCATCAGTATTGGTTTCTGACCTGTTTTGATCAAACACTGGAATAGGGATAGGTGAATTTTGGTCAGGGATGGAGTTGTCTTTGTAGGGAAAAATATTCTCATGAAAAATAACATCTCAAGAGATATATGTCTACCTTTTTTCGAGATCATAGACTTTAAAACCTTTTTTACCATGACTATAAGCTATCATGATACACTTAAAACTTCTAGGGGAAAACTTATCCTTGAAAGGTTGAGTGTTAGTGGCATAGCAGACGCACCCAAACATCTTGAGGTTATTATATGAAGGAATTTTGTTGTGGAGGATCTGAAAGGGTGTTTTCCACTCAAGAATTTGTGTAGGTAACCGATTAATAATGTAAGTAGCCATCAAAATAGACTCTCCCCAAAAAAATTTAGGTAGGTTGGCTTAAAACATAAGAGCTCTTGCAACTTGCAAGAGGTGTCTGTGCTTCCTCTCAACCACACCATTTTCTTGAGGTGTGTAGATACAAGTTTTTTGATGCACTATACCTTTGTCAATAAGAAATTTTTGAAATTCTGAGTTGACAAACTCAGTGCCATTGTCAGATCTCACACACTTAATATCTTTGTTAAACTGAGTTCGAAGAAATTGATGGTAGGCTTTAAAGGTTTGTAGAACTTGAGTCTTATGCTTGAGGAGAAAAGTTCAAGTGGCTCTACTTAGATCATCAACAATGGTTAAAAAGTAATGTGCCCCTGATATGGATGCATGTTTGTAGGGTCCCCATAGATAAATGTGAATCAATTCTCCTACCAATCAAGTTTGTATCATACTGTTTGTAAAAGGTAGTCTAGGTTGCTTGGAAATGGCACAAATATCACAATGTGGAAGAAAATCATCATCACAAATATTTAAAATTTCTAAATGTTTCATAGCAGTTGCAGAAACGTGTCCCAGCCTTTTGTGCCATAGACTTAAAAATTTATCTATAACAACATTAGAAGACACAGGGAAATTGTCACACTGAGGAAGGACAGAATTACAAATGGATGCTTTTAATTCATTTAAAATTGATGAAGTAAAAGAGGTCTGGTCCAAAACATAGAGATTGCTGACTAGTCTACCAACTACCTTGATTTCTTCAGTATGATGGTCCTATAAAAGGCAGTAGTTATCGAAAAAAATGAGTTTCATCTTTAAAGTTTTCGTTAATTTGCTGACAGACAACAACTTATATTTGAAGGTTGGGATGTGTAAAACATTTTTCAGAGTGATGGCAGGATGAATTTGAATATTTCCAGTGTGCTGAACAAAATTGATAGATGCATCAGGAAGATATACAGGAATGGCTGAAATGCATTACTTGAGTTTCTTAAAAAAATTTAGGTTGTTGCACATATGATTAGATGCCCTTGTGTCTAATATCCAAGAACCTACTTCTAACAGGTTTGAAGCATTGAAAGTAAGAATAGAATCAGGTGTGAGCACAGAACCTGCAAAGTTATCAAGATGAGCAAAATTAATCATGTCACCTCCAGTGCTTCCTTTCATCATTTTTACCAATTCCTGTTGGATCATCTCTAACAAATTGAATTTCTGAAGCCTATCTTTCACCTCCTGATCAGTTTCAAATGGTGTATCAGCTACGTTTGCTGAATACTTCACAGTTCCAGATCTATTTTGATTCCTTAATTACTTGAACCAATTCGGATAGCCTATAATTTTGAAACATCCATCCTTGTTGTGACCATTGATCTTGCAATGAGTACAATATAACAATTGTTTCTCTCTTTTTGTCATTTCATAACTCTTTCCTCCTATAGGTCTGACTCCATGATCCTTCTTCAAGTTATTTGCCTTAGAAAACATGGCACTCATTTCAGTTTCATTATCAAAGGCTATGTGTACCTCTTTCTGTTTCTCAATTCTCTGGATCATAGCATAGGCCTTGTTAACAACAGGTAAGGGCTCCATAGCCAAAATCTGGCTTCGAACTTGTTCGTGTTCCTTATTTAATCCCATGAGAAATTGCATCAGCCTACTAAATGAAGTTATATCTGATACTGCCTTAGCTGAGCCACATGTACATTCAAGTAATGGCATAAGATGTGTCAATTTATCCCATAGACCTTTCAATTTTGTGTAGTACTGAGATATTGATTGATTACCCTGTGTTATCGAGCAAATTTCCCTCTGTATCTGGTATAACTGTGGAGCATTGCAACCACTGAATCTCTCTTCCAATTCACTCCAGAGCTCCTTGGCAGAATTAGTGTACAAAAAAACATCAACAATGTCTTTTGAAATAGAATTTAAGATCCACAAAGTTATCATGCAATTGACTCTATTCCATTTTACAAATTGAGGTAAATTCTTAGCTGGAGTTTCAATTGTTCCATCAATGAACCCTAATTTCATTTTAGCACCAAGTGCAATTCTAACCGATCTACTCCAAGCCAGAAAGTTGTTCCCAGTAAGTGGCACAGTAACAAGTGACATACCAAGATGATCTGAGTTACCTAGCTAAAGTGGATCTCCTTCATCAGCTTCGCGACGACCTCCATTAGTTCGTGAATTAGTATCTTCTTCTAATTCGTTATCCATAAAAAAAAAAAAATTTAATCACTATTGATCACTATGTATCAGATCCTATCTTCAAAATCTTCCCGCTCTGATACCATGAAGAAATCAAGGATCGAAGAACAAACTCCCTTTTTATTTTATTGAATCTTTATCAAAATGAAACACAACCCACAATATAAATGCACCAGACGAAACAAACATAACAGACGCTTACAGCTGATTTGCAATCAAGGTAACAGACTACCAAATAGACACAAAGAAGGACATAAAGAATAATTGCACGTAAGGTCCTAAGGAAAATAAAATGTGAACATTCAGTACTAAAATTCTATAAAGTACATGTTATGATGCAGTACTAAGCCATACAAGTACATGTGTAACCATCGATATTGTCATGTCATGTAACATGTTCCATATGTGTTCAAGAAACTGTCATACTCTATGCCCCACACTAGATAGAGTGTGGCACATAGGGTGTCAAGTTTCCGGTTGGACTTGTAACAAACAGGCAATATGTAACAAAGTGTGGTGTGTAATTCGTATGTATACCAGCCCCAGAAAGACCAATCAGGAAAGGGGATATCAAAGTGCTCCCGGGTAGTGCAATAGCGGAACAGCGGTAATGGCTGAGAAGAATGTTCAGTCCGATTGATCGTAGGCTTGTCCATGCAATCAAACATCAAATCCACATCCGGTATCCTCCCAGGATACCGCCGGAGAAGCTGCACCACTCCCCACACTGTAAACATTGCTCGACTCTGCACACAATCGTAGTAAAAATCAGCATAAACTTTCCCTCCGATAATCACCATCCGAAAGGAGGCAAACTTTTGAGCCTCATTTATGTGTGCTATTGAGATCTTGGATTTCGTCCACGGCTCCAAGTCCTGATGTATGTGGCTGAAAAATTCTGGGCAATTATTATTGGGTTGGGGTAGTATATTTTTTGGGATGGCTGCGGCGGCTATGGCTCGACCACAACTGAGATAAGAGCACTGAATTATCTTTGAAGCTCTGGAGTATCTGGATGCTTCATCGAATGATTTGGGAGGGAAAATATGCCATGGCGTTGGTTCCAAATTGTGTCCCACTATAGTTTTGGTTTGTGAAGCAAATCTATCTACCTGTAATAATCATTTCATTAAACAGATGACGTACAATACACACAATCATGAATATAGAACATACAAAAAGCTCTATGTAAGCAATCTATCAAACAGATGGCGAGAAGCACCCAAAATCACGATCTGAGAACATAGAGAAAGCTCTACATACACAATCTATCAAAAAGATGTCGGGCAACCCAAAAAACCGTAAAAAAGAAGATATAAATACCTCCAGAATGAGCAGAATGAAGACAGAAAAGAAGACTATAAGCTTGGTATTGAAGAACTGTCCCATTTTTGTTGAATAGTGGTTGTAACTGGTGTTTGATGGCCTCCTCATCGGAAGATAAACGATAAATTCTGTATGTATCCATTCTCTGTATCTTTGTTTTCACACTCCATCGTAGTAAGAATTAAGATTCTAGGATTGCGGGCAAACGAATTTTACATCAACCCACGTGGAAATACTATATATGTCTAGCGGCTTTTCCACTTCCTACTCCGCTCCACAAACACGGTCAATTCAGTGCGTGTGAACAGTGTACTATGTATCTGAGCATGCATGCATCCATGCATGGAATGGCAAATTGAATGCATGCATGCATGGAGTTAGAGGTGTCAATCCGGGTGGTCCGGGTCGGGTCGGCCCGCCAACATGTGAGCCCGGTAACGGCCCGCGTGAAAAAAAGCCCGCCCGCTACGGGTTCCGGGCCGGTTACGGGTCGGCCCACAATTTTGGACTACAACCCAGGCCCGCCCGCTGACCCATCCGGGTCGAGCCCATGCGGGTCACGGGTCGCGCGGGTCGCGGTTCNAACGTTAGTCTTAAAAAAAATTCTAATAATTGTATGTAAAATTTAAAAATTATTCGACGATTGTATGCTAATCAAATTTACAAATTACTTATATCATTTCGAAAACTTATTTCAAGAACTACATTATGGACATATCGCATAATTCAAACAAATATCGAAAATAGTTAAGAATACATCAAACGTGAGTCTCAAAAAAGAATTCTAATAATTGGACGTAAAATTTAAAAATTCTCAGACGATCGTACGCTAATCGAATCTACAAATTACTTATATCATTTCGAAACTTATTTCAAGAACTACATTATGGACATATCGTATAATCTAAACAAATATCGAAAATATTTAAGAACATGTCAAACGTGAATCTTAAAAAAGAATTCTAATAATTGGACTTAAAATTTAAAAATTCTCTGACGATCGTACGCTAATCAAATTTACAAATTACTTATGTCATTTCGAAACTTATTTCAAGAACAATATTATGGGCATATCGAATATTTCAAATAAATATCGAAGATAGTTAGAATACGTCAAACGTGAATCTTAAAAAAGACGTACAATTATTAGACGTCTTTTTTAAGACTCACGTTTGACGTATTCTTAACTATTTTCGATATCTATTTAGACTATTCGATATGCCCATAATATAGTTCTTGAAATAAATTTCGAAATGATATAAGTGATTTATAGATTCGATTAGTGTACGATTGTCGGAAAATTTTTAATATTTACGTATATTATCGAAATTTAAATTTATTTTCATTTTGCCCCCGTTTGGTGGAGATTAAAATCAATTTTTTAGTAAATTTTGATAAAAGTTAAACATTTATGGATTTCATGAAATATGCTATTAAAATTAATTGTTAACTTTGATTTAGATTAAATTTTAGATTTCATTCGATACCAAACATGATTATATAAAAAACAAAAAAATTTAACAAAAGACAAAAAAAAAAAAAATTTGTAAATGTCAGCTTTGCCTTGCCAAAAGACAAGGCAAAGCGTATAAGCTTCTCCTGCGCGCCATGCGCAGGATAACGGAACTATATAAGTAAATTATTATTAATAGTTTGTTGACTTATGGTAGATTTCGAGTTTTGATTATAACAAACAAATTATTTTTATCTCTAACATATACATTCAAATCTTCATTGATACATGTTGCGAACCTGGTGAAAATCGAGCATTCAAAATCAAGTTTGGAAATCGAGCATTCACTTCAAAACAATCGGAAAAAAATCAAGCATGCGCACCAAATTTAAAATCGAGCAACAAAACATGTACGCGCTCCAAATCAATCGAAGACATTAGACGTAGATGATTTGAATTCATATATAAATGTAAAACACTTTAATTTTTAACAATGAATCACTTCAAACTCGTAAGTTAAATTTTTATACACGAAATAAACGTTTCTCAAAAAGGTGAAATGGAGATTTTCAGTCTGGTGGACGTCTGGTAAGTCCAACGGTCAAATTTTTAACCATTCTGATTTCGACACTCAACGGCTAGTTCGGTCGTCGATACAGTGGTGGACATCTGGTAGAGGTCGTCAGGTTGGACAGAAAATTTTTCGTTTTTAACTGTTATAAATATCAACTCATTTACCATTTATTACAACAACTTCAGAGCATTCAATTGAGTTTCCTTTGAGCAAAAAATTTG